GCGTCCCCCGCGGTACACGGCACAGTACTGGCAGGACGAGTGTTTTGTGCGCTGTCCTGATTCCTGCCGGAGCTGGGCTTTGGGGGCTATTTTGAGACGGGTTTTAGAAGGTAGCAGAAAAACACAGGAGCCCTTTCCACCTTCTTTAGGTGAGAGAAAAAAGCAGTGCATCCATTTTAACTAGTCAGTTAAACTGGATGAACAAATAGCTACGTTGTGCTAGTGCATCAGGCAAACTCATATCCTGCTTATTCTCTGCTACAATTTGCATATGAGGTGATGTGCAGAGGTTCTCTCACCACTGGTAAGCAACTCAGCCAGGCAAAATCCATGAAGAGAGAAGGTTTGTAAGCCCATACACCTTCAGTCTCCTGGTGGTTAGTGCAGCTGCAGTGCAGGTGTATACACACAAGCGCTCACAAAATGTTTTCCCTTTACTGCCTATTCAGTTCTGTATCACAAAATGCACTTGCAGCCAGGTGGCAATGAAACAGTAGTTTTTCTTCTGCTTTTTCCTGCTGTTGCTCACATAAACGAATATGTCATTTCCGTTTACAGGCCATATTGGACTCTCAGGACAGAAACTACTACATGCTTCCAGAAGATGGCAGGTAAGAACCAAATAGTAATAAAAATGCTTTTGACTTAGGTTCTAGGCATGCTGATACCTGGCATACCCTTTGTTTAGAAGGGATATTAAGGTGCTATTTTTTAAAGCATTGGAATTATTTAAGGGACTAATGCTTTTGAAAACTCTAGTATCTCCAAATACAGTATCTGAGTGCCCGCAACTCTACTTCAATTAAAGCAAACTAGCACCTTGCAGAATTAATCTTTTCACTTCTTTGAGGTGGTTCCATCTCCAACCACAGAACTACTTATTTAACTGAGAGCTGGCAGGAACTGCGAAGAGGGCAGAGTTTTTGATATTCCAGAAAAAAAATTTTGAGCAAGAGAGCAGTAGTTTCTTTAAACTTGTTGCTTAAATACTTTAAATAAACTGTCATGGCATGAGACTGTCACTTGTTAAATTTATGATGGCATCTGACTACAAATTGTAACGGTCTTTTGGCGAAGCTATTGTTTCATGTGCATTCACTCAATGGACACCGTAGAAATAACTGCCTCTTTTAATGCATGTATAAAAATGAGGTATTGTTTTTTTCAAGCTCTCAGCTCAGATTCTGTTAACTACCTCTGATACCTCAAATGTAACTGTCACCCCAATGGTGGTCTGGGGCAGGTAGCTGCTGTGTCTACTGGAGAAACTGAATTCAGGAGAGTTTTTGTGTCGGCTATTAGGAACCACGGTCTGAATGTTTTACAGATCCCAGTTATTTTAAATAGTTTCTAGAAATTTCCTTGTCTGCAGTGTTTATGTATAAACTACTGTAACCCCTAAAAGTATTTCACTTTCCCTTTTGTTCAGCAAAGAATAATTTTTTTTAGAGAGTTACTGAAATTGAATGGCGATTCCATTGTTTTAAGTGCTCTAGCTCTGTTCAATAAGGTTATGAATAAGTAAGCTCTGATACACCTTGTTGTGTTAGTTTAAGAAGCTGCATCCCTGCTTATCCCTCTGGTCACTCATTTTAGTTTAAATCCATTTTTGTCAGCAGTTTAAGATATACCAGACAGCTCACCGACAAAACCAAGGACAAGTCACGTTGCTTTCTATTGAAGCCGCTGTGAGGATGGTAAAGTGGGAGAGTAGCATCTTAAATTTTACCCTGATGTTATCATTTCCCCAGCACTTAAATGGAAGATGTAGGGAACCCATAGTACAGTTGGGGGATTCTCTGGGCTCTCAGAAGTTGATTCCACAGTGGTCTGAGGAATCCAGATTGGCACTATTTTGACCGCATCCCATCCCTCACACTAGCACCGCAACTTGTCTAACCTGGCAGAGAGCTGGGTTAGGGAGCTAAGCCAGCAGCAAGTTTTAATTCTGTTGGTGGGTGGGGTTTTTGGAGGCAGGGGGTAGAATCAGATGAGCACAAATGCTGACTGAAAAAGAGGGACTGTGTCAGAGGAGGAGCAGGGCATGGCTTGGGCTGTGCATCACGATGTAGTGCAATGCGACCTGCTATGGAAACACAGCTACAGTCCACCAAGTTCCACCTAGAAAGCCCTGGGTAGCACAATGTTTCTGTGGGTGTGGTACTTACGGATGAGTTCTTCATGAGTCACTTCCTCTGCCAAGCAGGAGTCAAATGCTGGCTCTGTCATTTGTTTTCACTAGTTGGGTGCCACATGGAAAACACAACACAAAAACATGAAGAACCAGGCCATCACTCCACAAACTGTTTCACATTGGCCTGCCTCTAAGGTATCTTCTGCTTTTCTTTCTGCCTCCAGGGAGAAAAGTCCTAATAGTCTATGCACATCAAGAGCCCAAGTCTTTGAATGGATCTTTGAAGAGTGTTGCAGTGGAAGAATTGGGCAAACAAGGCTGCAGTGTCACAGTGTCTGATTTATATGCAATGCAGTTTGAGCCAAGAGCAACAAGAAATGACATTGTTGGTGAGACTAGCCAAAATACATTTTTTTCAACAGTGATGATGAGACAAACAGTCTTCTTGTCTGTCCTGCTACACTAATAATCTAGAACCATACTGTTAGGTACACTCTGAAAAAATAGTTGCCATTGCTTTATGCCTTCCTTAACAAACAAGACCCAGGTTTTTATTTTCTGTAAGCATTGACTAAGCAATGTCAATATAGGAACCCAACATACATCATTCTTATTTAAATAAATCCAACTCGTAGAAATGGTTCCTTAATGAAAAAAATGAAATATCTATATTATGCAGATTTGTAAAACACCATTTTGCCTTTAGACCAAAGTGAATGAAGTATAACATTCTTCTTCTAATATTTGCAATCAAATGAAGCAGCATTCTAAAAACCATCTTCTCTTAATGGTAAGTATTACAAATGCATTCTGCAAATTGGCACCAGGCATTTAAGTGTTTGGCCTTTGGAGTTGTTTTGGCACCTCCCAATTGTCTTGGTAGTATGTGATTGCTAAAAATGACTAGATGGTGCAGGTAAGCTTGAGACAAATAGTGATGCTGTTATTAAGCTTACATGATATTTTCATGATTAAGAAGGTCTGCTGTGCTCTTAATAGCATTTATGTCCAATATTTTTCCAGTTCAGGGAACACAAAGCTATAACATAATCTGATACAGCTGGCCCTATCTCTTTAAAATAAGAATCAGAAAGAAATAGCACACATCTGGTACCTGCACCGGCCAAAAAAAAGAAGAACCTTACTAATGACCAGACTTTAGCATTTCTATAAGTCTACCCCTGAAAATGACCCTTACCTCACAGTGACACTTCTGGGAGGGAAGAATGCATTTGCTTACACATGTTCAGAACCAGTTTCTGAAGTCCATTTCTCTTGGGTGCTTGCCATGCCTTCAGGTACCCTAATTCATGAGGTTACTACTTCCACCTGTCTTCCTTGTCCTTCTGCTGGAGATGGATGACCTTCTAGTGGAATCACCAGGAAAGAATGCATACGTATGATTCAGACATGCAGGAATCAGCTTATCCAACTGTGGTGGAATCAGACGAACCAGGCAATACTTCCCTACCTCCTGCAGAGTCTCCCAGTTACAGAAGAACAGCTGAAGAACTGCTACAGAATCCTTGTGACTCTGCAGTGGTTTCAGTAATCCCAACTGCAGAGGCAGAGCAATTACCAAGAGGTGGTGACATCTTAAATCACCCATTTGCATCACCAGAGTGTAAAGCCAAGCTTAGGTCCTCTTATTGCACTCATATGTTGCTACAGAAAGGTAAAAGTTGTAGTACCCTTAGATACCACATTCCTCTCCAGTTAAAATCAAATCACAGTCTATCACTCAGCTGTAATGATATTGAATATTCATGAAAAGAAAAGGAAAGTAGGAAAAAATGGAAAGCAGTAACTCAATTTAGACGTGTAGATTGCAGTCTGTATTTAATTTCTATTTGGCTACATCACTAGAAACAGGGTTAGCAATAACCATTCACTTCTACCCACAGGTTGCTTACTCAACTCGGAACAGTTCAATTACGGAGTTGAGGCACGGGAAGCTTATAAGAGAGGAAATTTATCTGACGATCTGATTGAAGAGCAAAAGAAGGTGCAGGAAGCAGACTTACTGATTTTTCAGGTCAGTATTTTAAATTGTATTAAAATACTGTAGTTGTAAGGTACAGGGTTAAGCAAAAGAGAAACAGTAATAAGTGAGAAGATTATAGATTTCAATAGGAACATTGAAACTAGCCAGACTTAAAATATGGTAGCTCTGCCATCAACACAAAATAGTTTGCACACAGCATAGCAATTTCTAGAGGTCAGGATTTTCTGATATGATGTTTATTTTAAAATATCAAAAATACTAAATCATTTGTGAGCATTATTCATGCTAGCATATTATGATCTTTTCACACAAATAATGGCTCCACCGTAGCAGTTTTGGGACTAGGAAGGCATCCAAAATTAGATCTCTAAAATACCTGCTTAAAATTCACACCCGCACTTCACTTAAAACTTAACATTCAAAAGTAATCTAATTGTATGGTTATTGTGAGGACTGGTCCTTATGATACCTGCACTCTGACATGATTGGATTGAGCAGCCCAGAGTGCAAAATGAGACTATAATTCTCACTAAGAGAACAGCGCTGTATTATCAGGCAGCCTGATCCTATCCCTTTGTCTTGGAGCACAAGCAACAAGATCTACAGTAGAACTGTGGAAGCCATCTTTTTTGCATTATGAGACAGATACTTGGGAATAGAGTATTTCCCAAATGGAACTGTGGGATCAGCAGTGTTGGGGATTAATCATATCCCATACTTGCACAAGTGCAGTCAACAGCAAGGCTAAAGGACACAGGATAATAGCCTCCAGAGTGTTGACATCCAGGAGGTCATGTGCAATACAAATGAAAATATTCCATCCAAATTCACATTCTGACCATTGGCCTTATGCATAGCCTATATTCCAGTGTCCCATTCTAGATGCAATTTATGATGTAACCGTATTCAGAATAAGTATTTCACTGTAAATCTTCGTCATTTTTGCAATAGTCTTCCGAGCTTCAGATAAGTAAAATATAGTAAAATGTCCTCTAAAGGAAGTAGTTGCTTCCTACTTTCTATCTGTAAAATGGTATGAGGAGTTAAGTGTGTCTTGGCACAGAAAACAAACACACAAACAAAAACGCTCAAAGACACTGTGAAGTAATTTAAAATCAACTATAAGCTGACCACTTCTACGGATAACCATGGTTGCCCAGTTTCCATTTTGAATTAAGTCACATGCGCCTTAAGCTCTTATAGAATGTCTTCTCTTAGACTGTGTGATGTGTACAAAAGTTTAGGAATAGCAGCCTTGAATAGGAGTCCACAGAGTGTTCATGAGAGCGCAAATAATTTTAGGCTGTGGTCCCATAGGCTAAATGGAGGCTTTAGGAATAGAGAGGCCTACCGTTAGAGGGAAAGTTTTCCTCTCAGTAAAGCAATAGTGAAACAGAATCATCCTGTCCATAGGGTATAAGAGAATCTCTTTCTTAAGATCCCATGGCATTTTTTGGAAGACTGTCCAATCAGAACTGATCACCAGATGTCAGTCCTGGTAATAAGGCTGTCTATGTGCATTCCGCTACATTTTCCATTAAGTAATATGTTCTTTTTGCATTTCAGCAATAGGTGACACTATTCTGTACAGTCTTAAGTTTGAATTAAATGGCACCTTCCTGCTTCATCATATCCCAGCTTTAATTTGTGTAGAAGCTCTCACAATCACCATGGTGTTAAAACAGTACAGATGCACAGGTTAAGTACCTGAAACTACAACATACAAAAATCACTTGAATTAATTTTGCTAAACATAGTTACTGCCTTGCCAGAGAGAGGGTTGCAAGAAAACATGCACAAGATCTGAACAGATAAAGAGAATAGGATGTTGCCTGTAGACCAGGCTGAAGGATGTCTCAGACTCTCTGTATTAACAAGGTAATTTACTTTTTGCCTAGTTTCCCTTGTATTGGTTCAGTATGCCAGCAATCATGAAGGGCTGGATGGACAGAGTCTTGGTCGAAGGATTTGCTCACAAATTTCCAGATTGTTATGATTCCGGTTTGCTCAAGGTATGTTTTTGGGATTGTTTTACTAAAATTAAGATTTGTGCAGTGCTCTTTAGGTAATGATCTCTCTCTTCCACTGTATATAAAGCTCTCCCTTTAGGCTGTCCTGAAAATAAATCACAGCTTTTTCTGTGGAGGAATGACTTGTTTTCTGAAGTTTCTGGGTTATTCAGGTGTTCTTAGTATTTAGACTTACATTAACTAAAGTCTTTGAAGTTGGACTACTTAGCAATCCAAATGTAACTCGGCTCTCAGCAGCTTTCAACAATTGCTTTAGCAGTAGCACAGGCAGATACAGAAACTCTTTTCTAGTCCATCAGTAGACCACATTCCCTTAGCTTTCTCCAGAATACTTTCCAAACATCAATCTTCTGCAATATGTTCCAAAAGCTAAAAATAATAAAATGAGTCATTGGAGACTAGAGGGAGAAGGAGGCAATAGCCAAGTACAAGATCGAGATTGTGGCTGAAGCAGCTGTGGTGGATTGCCTATGGCCAAACACACCAGTACAGAATAGTGGGGCTGTAGGAGGTCAACATCTTTAACTCCATTCTTACAAACAAGCAGATAGTGCACAGCCTTCCATTCACTAAGGTATTCCAGAGTAGTGGAAGATTAAGCTGAGCATCTACAGAAGCTTCAGCTTTAAAATAAGCATATTTCAGGAAAGTATGGGGGAAAAGTTTGACCTACGTATTGATGACATACTTTTCTTTTTGCTTATTCTAAAAAAATTAAGGAATGCCATGGGCTTAGGTCAACCTTAGCATTTCCTGTTCTCTACCAATATTTCAGTAGACAAAATATTCTGACATACATAAACAGCAGGACACAGTAATTGAATGTGAGGTAGAAACTTTGTGCCCACTGAAAGTCTAGGAAAAAGAAAAGCACTTTTTAAAACACAAAATCTTGTATGTCAATCTTTGAGGTAAATGTTTAAGCTGTTGTATTTATGGTTAGGGTTGGACAGGAGCATGCATGCAGAGATAAATAGGGTGACTCAGCTGTCTGTAACTGGAAAACCAACCTAGTTTGATCATGTGATCATTTCCGCAGCTGTCAATAATAATGCTTTGGTAACATGTTAAGTAACCTTCTGGACTGTTAAAACTGTCTGAAAGGTAGTAAGTACCGTGAGGAGAATGCAGTGGTTCCTAAAGATTTCAACATTTTCCTGAAGATTTTTATCTGGCCTGCAGAATGGGCTTTATAATTTGGTAGGTGTATCACAGTGCACTGGGATGCCATACAATCTGATTGATTCATATCTTAAAACTTCTCAGTCGCTCATTCTTCCTGCTATAGTAGGACTGCATGAGTTTGTCATGGGTGGCATACTAGAACAGATGACAAAGATTCCTGTTGTGGGGTTGAATGCCAAAGGGTGGAATTAAATTATAAAAGTTAAGTAAAAACCTGAAATGCTCAGTGCATGTGGTTCTTGGACTGTGGTCCAGCCTTCTCCTTTGACCTTTTTCTTCTCTGTAGCCTCTAAATTGGGCAAGACCAGTATCTCTAGATGCCAATTCATAATTTCTTAATTCTCCATGGCATTGGGCATAACCACGTTAGTCAATAAACTGAGAATTTGGGCTCACTGCCTGATGGATCTTACTTGGTAACAACTACTGCATCCAGAAATAACCAATATTAACTGCACATTTGTGTTAGCTGCATATTAATCTATTTAATTTATGATCTTTGTAACAATTCCAAACATTTCAGTTTGTTTAAATTTCAAATATGGCTGCCTCACTGAGATGAATAGGAGTAATCCCCAACCCTTATAGCTGCACGCTGATTGCAGACTCAAGGCAATTAAGATAATGCAATGAGTCATATGAGGAAAAATCTGTGATTTTAATTGTAGAAGCTAAAACTGAGAGGATAGATGCTGAGCACAAGCCTATGGGAAATCCAGTTATTTACAGAATCAGAAGAAACATGGGGCTTTTAGAACACCTGATGAAAAAAGTCTAAAGAATACAAACTGTACTCAAATTATTCCGTGACAAGTTAACTAGCAAGCCTAAGTTTGAAAGGGGATTACTGTAGCATTTTCAGTTTCTCTGTTCAAGAGAGAGAGGAATACAAATATTCTAAGTAATGCAGTGCTTTCCAGCCAAACATTTCGTAGGTGAAAGCAAGGATCAGCCCTGCTACATACTTTCGTAACGGTATATGCAATTTCTTTTCTTTTTACTCTGTCTCTATCTAAAGCCCTGACACACAGTTCATTGTCTAGTTGCATGTCTTACAGCTTTGTCTCACAGCTGCCGCTACATGTAAGGTCAGAGAACGAGGACGAAACATCTCCTCTAGAGATTCATGCTATCCATGTTCCCCTGAGTATCTCTTGAACTATTCAGTCATTCTTCTTTAGACATGCCTATCTTAAGCACAGTGTCCTTAATTCTAGGATAAATTAGCCCTGTTTTCTTTCACCACCGGAGGAAGCAGAGAGATGTATGCACAAGGAGGTATCAGTGGTGATATTCGCTATCTCCTGTGGCCCATGCAGGTATAACATATGAATATTTGCTTGATATTTGTTTGCCTTAATTTTTACTATTCAAGTTATTTTTAACAATTTTATTGTTATATATTTTATATAAAGTATATAGAAATAATTCAGTTGTCAGTTCCAAGCATCTGCAGATTATAAGTTGGGCCCTAACGTCCTGAGACAACTATAAAAGTCAACAGAGTTTTAAAGCCACTTAGTGCCTCTTCTCAAGACTGGAAGCTGGAGAAAGCTTATATTGTCTGCTTTTGAGTTTCTCTGGTGTCATAGGGTTTCCCTTAACTCTAGCATGAAAGATTTGTTTTCCCTAC